CATATAAATCGGGCATAAATGCATGCTGTATTTTTTTACAAAGTCAGTATTGTTTATTATTTCTCTATGTAGTTATGTTACATAAGTGACTGCCAGTTTGCCCGAATTGGCAGAATTTTGGCATGTATTCAGTTTTTTGGGGGGAAAGGTGTAAACTATCAGCAGGTGTTCGAATAATTTGGTGCGAATCAAACAGACTGGATGTTGTGTTTGCATTCAAACACAGTAAGCTCACCTTGAGTCTCAACAAGAGAGGTGGACTATATATGAACTAGATACGTAAATGAATTTGAGTTTTGAACATGTTTGTTAGTAAATTTCCTGCATCTCTAATTAGGAGACGGACGGGAGTGTAACTATTGGAAGGACAGAAGTCCTGAATTCCTGATACATGTTGTGATATTTGAAGAAGTACAAATTATCAGTTTTTCATGTATTTATATGCATTTAAGTTGTGCTTGTCTCCCTTTATGAAGTGTTGGTTTGCACCCTTAAAGCCACAGAGTTTTGGCCTACGACACTTAAAGGATCACTTTCTTCCACATGTGGACATTGTAACCTGCCTCGGGGGCCCTTATCCATGCACTACTTCCAGCAGAAGTTCATTGGGTCCTGGATGGGTTAGTGCTCTCTCAGCAGGAGCACCAAGATGGTAGAACTTGATTTCCTCTGTTGTGGAATGTAACTGTGAAGCCAAGGCAGTATAATTTAAGACTCCTTAGCTAAAAACTCTCTGCTGTTTGTCTGTACTCTCTGCTTCAGCCATTGTTGCCATAATAATGCTGTCTATGGATTTTCAACTCTGTTGCACTTTCTCGTTGTATGTTGTCGTTGTTAGGTTTGTTACATATTTGCTTTTATTGTTTGAGGCTCTTCTATAGTTTGGGGCTCTTCCTATTATTTATTTATTATTTATTTATTTATTAGAGAAGTCTGCTGGTTAGAGATACTTGATGTAACCGTTTATCCCTAGCTTTTAGGGGGTGCACATTATCATAGGGTGCTGCAAGTGAACTTTAGACCGTCTTTAGCTTCATACTTGCATTCAGACATCTGCCAGAAAATCACTGAGTGCTCCTTGTTCTGTCTGATGCCAATGAGAATATGAGTCTCTTGGGAACCATGTTAAGACATTCCAGAGCTGAGAAACAACACAATATCCTATTAAGTTTGGAAGTGGAATGGGTAGGCCATCCTTTATTCTTAATCTTTGCACAGTATATCATTTCAGCCTGGCTCTTTTGTCTGCCCTAAAGAAATGTTTACCATTTCAGAAGTTTCTGATAGGAAAGTAAATAGAACCTGCCATAAAAATACAATTCTTGGGAGTGTATTTACACATATTTCTGCAATGTGAGCGAACCAAGAGAGGTTTTTAAATGACATGAAATATCCCACAGCTTTTAATAAAGGACAGCAGGTTAATTTGTTTATTGGGTTGTGATCTAGAGATGCTTTCAGGACTTGTATGATGAAGGAAAAGCTTTGGTTACTGATTTTGGACTCTTCATTGAGATGTTATTCTATCATGTTATATCAAGGTTAATATCATTTTAGACAACGCAGTTTGCTTATATACCCTGGTTGATTTAACGGGGTCATTTTTATTGGCATATTTTTATTGACCTGCTTTTATTTACTTTACTGACTTGTTATTGAATCATTTTATTATATTGATTAGTTTTGTTTTATGGTTGTCAGCCACCTTGAGCATGTCTGGAGATGCAGCATACAAATTTCCTAAATAAATAAAATAAAATAAATAGGGTTGCCAAACTCCTGCCTCTCCCTTTGCTAGGAAATGTCAACATTTTCTGGTTCCAGAATCTTTTATGGTCCTTTGTGTATTCTGCCTTTGTCCTGCTTCTCGGGAGAACCTCAGACCAGCCAGCCATTAGCAATACCAACTCTCTGAACAGATGATTCACAGACAGAAGATCTAGTTTCATATCTGCAAACTGGAAGGGCCAGTTTTAGGCAAATGTATGAACATCCACAATGTATATATATTGTGCCACCCAAGCTGCAAAGTTAATCTTGATTATCTGGGAGGTGAGGAGCTGAAATGACACTTTTGTTAGGTATCCTGTTTGGTTCTCCTTTGGAGTTCAAAATGACTAATGTCTAATAATTAACAGCCACCATCATTCTTGGATATACTGCATGAAAAACATTTGGTCCAGCCCTCAGTTTTACTATAAAGTAGTTTGTGGGGCCACAGTGACTCAGAGGTTAAGGTGTGAGGTTCAAGATCCTAGTGCCATGTGATAGAGTGAGCTCCCATCTCTGGCCCCAGCTCCTGCCAACCTAGCAGTTCGAAAGCAAGAAATTGCAAGTAGATAAATAGGTACCACTTTGGTGGGAAGGTAATAGCATTCTGTGCACCTCAGCAGTTAGTAATGCCGGCCAGTGCTGGCTCTTTGGCTTGGAAATGGAGATGAGCACCGCCCCCGAGAGTTGGATTCGACTGGCTTTCGAACAAGGGAAACCTTTACCTTTTAGCTTAAGTGCAGCCATTCCACACAGGTAAAGGCTTTTTTTCAGCAGCATGGACTCTATTCCCAAAGGATGCTTCAAGTCCTCTGTTGTATGTAATGATGTCCCTATGTTATGAATCAGCTGGCAGCCTAGACTAAATCCTAAATCCCATTTGGTCTAGATGAATGTAGATTCTTATGGGCATAACTCTTTAACAAAAGCGTGATGCTGATTTTTTGGAGAGCATTAAAACCTGGTTCTTGGGCCTAGTCCTATGCCTGTAATATGTTTGTTTCATATGCAATAGTGCTTTCAGTTTTCTTTATTTGCTTATTTGAACTATGATTTTTGCCTTAGGGTTGTTCATTTTCTGAAAATGAATAAGCCAGTTCTCTTGTATCTGTTCTGGAAGTTTTTTCATGAAGCAAATCAGTTCTAACTTTACTGTTTTCTTATCCAAGCTGCAGCAGAGATAAATCATGTTCTGGTTACTGGTTTAAAGCCATTCCAGCCTATGAGGTATGACATTTCAGTCATAAGATTCTCGGTGAAGTAGCAAAATATATTTAATCGATATGGGATGTCAAACTATATTATTTAACTTTCAGTGCTGTATATTAGACCCCAGTATTATGAATGGGTTGGTAGGGATATACAGGAAAGTCTGTAGATATAATCCTTAATAGCCAAGAGTATAAACTTTGTGATGATATCTTGTGATCCATTTGCCCATATGGGTGTCTAGGCTGCTGTGTATTGTTGAAGGAAGGCTTGAAGTGAAGGTTATTTCTGTATAAGCAATTTTCCAAATCAATAAGCTTATTACAAAGCTTTCACCGTGTAGCACTCAAGGCCTTTCATTTTTATTATAGGTTTTTGGCTGTATCTACAAGCCATTTTGGAAAAGAGGTATGGTTCTTGTTAACTGGGCTAAGTTGCACAACTATTTCAGCTCTCACATAATCTCTGAGTGTTTTAAATTTGTGCCAGAATCTCGCCCAGTCTTTCTTTTGCTTGTGGAAGACCTGTGAGTCAAATGCTGGGATTTCTCAATGCTTGCAGCTACCATTTGGGGCCTGTCAGACCTCTGGGATCAAGGACTTTTTGGCTGTTCAAAAAGATTCTGTGTGTGTGTGTGATGGGTTTGGGGTTGGATCCAGACACCTTTTTGTCTCAGTCGTCTTCCCTTTTCTCCTCCTTACTACAGCGCCATCCATATTGTTTTTATTCATGCAGATCCCATGATCCCACCCCTCACTTCAGGAAAGCCATTTTGGGTAGTCAAAGAGGCCCCTTCCCCCTTTTTCTGATTTTTGTCCGTGGTAATAAGCATGAAGAAGGAGGAGGAGGAGGAGGAGGAGACTGGATTTATACCCCACCCTTCACTTGGAGTCTCAGAGCGGCTTACAAACTCCTTTCCCTTCCCCTCCCCACAACAGACACCCTGTGAGGTGGGTGGGGCTGAGAGAACTCTGACACAAACTGCTCTTTTTCGAGGACAGCTGAGCCAGAGCTTGTGACTGACCCAAGGTCACATCAGCAGGTGCAAGTGGAGGAGTGGGGAATCAAACCCGGTTCTCCCAGATTAGAGTCCGCACACTTAACCACTACACCAAACTGGCTCCATGCTTCCATCTCACCCAATGATTCATTCTCACTCTCCTCTCCCGATCTGTGATTTATTTTTAGAATATCACACAAGGGGGCAGATGAGACCTTCTCCATTTACGTAGAGGACAATAATTGTCCCCTTGTGCTAGTGACAGGATTCTTAAAATGGTTATAGTCATTCATTATCTCAGAACAGTGGCTCATTGATGAAGCCATAAACCTCCTTGTGTCTTACAAGATTTATAGAATTAATAAAGAAAAAGAGGCAGAGGCAGAAAGAACTGGGAGGGAAATAGAGAAATAGATGGCAGACAGCTCACTTCAGGAAGCAGATTTGGGGCATCGTTAAAGATTAACACATTTGGTTTCTTGTAATTTTGTCATCATGGCATTTAATGTGACATAGATCAGTGCACTCTAATTACCAGGCAAGTATAAAAACGAAACATTTTAAATTTTAAATTAGGGTTGCCAGCCTCCAGGTGGGGCCTGGAGATCTCCCGCTTTTACAACTGATCTCCAACTGACAGAGATCAGCTCCCCTGGAGAAAATGGCTGCTTTGAAGGGTGGACTCTATGGCCTTGTACCATGCTGAGGCCCCTCCCCTCCCAAACCCCACCTTCACCTGGATCCACCCCCAAAGTCTCCATGTATTTTCCAGCCGAGACCTGGCAACCCTACCTGAAATGCATCAAGTTTGCCATACAACTGTGTTAAGCATTTTGACATGTTTATTTATTTATTTGTAGTATTTTTATCCTGCCCTCCCCGCGAGCGGGCTCAGGGTGGCTTACAATGCTTGGCACCAGTACCAAGTACATATAAAACAGTTAAAACCAATTAAAACAATCAATCCAGTTACAATTACAGTGCTCGCAGTGTCATTAATCCAGATGGCATACCGTACAGTATGGCATCCAAGTACCCAGCTCAGCGGTCTCGCAACATTCTAACCTACGTAGTATGGCTCACTCTCAGCTATGGCCAGCCCAACGTCACCGATGTTAATAGTGAGCGTTGATGGTAGTGGTGGGTGGCTCCTAATTGAAGGCCTGGTGGAAGAGCTCCATCTTGCAGGCCCTGCAGAATTGCAAAAGTTCCCGCAGGGCCCTGATCTCCTCCAGGAGCTCATTCCACCAGTATGGAGCTGCCAGAGAAAAGGCTCTGGCCCTGGTGACAGCGAGTCTGGCCTCCTTAGGGCCTGGGATGACTAGTTGATGTTGCAACCCCGACCGCAGTGCTCTCTGGGGTATGTATAGGGAATGGCAGTCCCTCAGGTATGTTGGACCCTGGCCATATAGGGCTTTAAAGGTTAGTACCAGCACCTTGAAGCAAATCTGGTATGCTATTGGCAGCCAGTGCAGAGCCTTCAGCACAGGTCGGATGTGCTCCCGTCTATGGAAACACATCAACAGCCTGGCCGCGGCATTCTGCACTAGCTGCAGCTTCTGGATTTGGGACAAGGGCAGCCCCATGTAGAGAGCATTGCAGTAGTCTAATCTTGAGGTGACCATTGCGTGGATCACTGTAGCGCTTGAGGTAGGGGGCCAACTGCTGAAGATGGTAGAAGGCCAACTTAGCAGTGGCTGCAACCTGGGCCTCCATCGTCAAGGAGGGATCCAGGAGCACTCCCACCCTCCTAACCCCCGACGCTGGCACCAATGGTGCCCCATCGAAGGCTGGGAGCGGGAGCCCCAACCCCAAACCACCCCTACTCAGGCACAGGACCTCCGTCTTTGCCAGATTTAGCTTCAGCTGACTCAGCCTGAGCTAACTAGCCACGGCGTGCAATGCCCGGTCCAGATCTTCCAGTCTGGAGCCCGACTCACCACCCAACATTAGATAGAGCTGCGTGTCATCAGCGTACTGATGACACCCCAGCCCATGCCTCTGGGCTATCTGGGCAAGGGGGCACATATAAATGTTAAAGAGCATCGGGGACAGCACCGCCCCCTGAGGCACTCCGCACTCAAGTGTGTGTCTCCGGGAGAATCCTAGACGTAAACAAACCAAACTGAGACACAGAGAAAGAGGGGGGAGGAGAAAAGAAGAGCGTTAAAGTGTGCCAAAGACTTAGCTGTTTTGCGGATAAATTTGCGCTGTTTGAAAAAGGGCGAAAAGGCGTTCCTTAGTGTAAACAAAGGAGGAAGGAGACGTGTTCTCCATGTTATCAGAGCTGCTACGGCCCATTAACGAAAGACTCGATGGTATTAACCAACAAATGACTGCATCCAACCAGAGTTTGGCAAAGCAACAACAGCAAATTGCCAAGCTGGTGAAAAAGTCGATCCAAACAGATGAAAAACTTAAAGAGACAATGCACGATACCAAAAAGGTGAAAAAGAAGGTTGGCCTGTTGGAACAAAGACAAGATCTTCAAGAAAGGAGATTGTTAAATCTACAAATGGAAAAAGCTAACAAGGTTCTCAGATTTCAGGGGGTGGCTGAAACGGCAGGAGAAAACTTGAAGAAAGTGATAGCAGAGCTAATCGCTTCGGCGCTCGGCAGCTCATCGGTAGAAGCGGAAGCAGAGATCGAGGTGGTTTATCGATCCTACTCTAAGTATATTAAGCAAAATAATCTACCGGGCGAGATTGTTGTCAAGTTTCTCCGAAGGCAGGTGAGAGATGATATTCTCAGAGCGACAGCAGTCAACCCCCTGCAGCTGGGAGCAACAACTATGAGGGCCCTAAAGGACACCCCATTTGAGATTCGACAGAAAAGAAAAGCCTACAAGGAACTTGTTTCAACCCTCCAGATCAACCAGATTTCGTATTCCTGGAATTTCCCCGAGGGTGTGGTGTTTAAATATAAAGACAAAAGGGAGAAAATTGACTCGGTTTTTAAAGCGGAAGAATGGTTGAAGCAGTTTCACGGATCGAAAAGGGAAGAACAGCCAGACGGAGGGGGCCAAGCAGACACTCTGGAAGAGATGGACGGAGACTCAGGAGGAGCAGAAGGTGGCACGGCCAGAGATGCATATGATTTGCGGCTAAGGGGACCTAAGTAACTCTTTAGAAGTTAAAGACCCGCAACTGAAGAAGAAGATGAAAGAAGAAGAAAAAAAGAAGATAGACAATTACTAACACGGACTCACTAACTCTTGAATTCATTGACTTAAATGAAAAGTTATTATTTTTATGACTAACTGGACACTAACTGTTAAAGACCTTCCTTTCTTGGGCTTTTAGTCATAGTATGGGTTGCTTTATTTGCTGTCTTGTACCCTGGGGTTTTGTTTTTTTTCCCTCCCCTTTTCTATTTTCTGTAGTTGTGTAGGTGTAACAAAAATAAAGCTACCCTGTTTTCAGGGGATTAAAAAAAAAAGTGTGTGTCTCCGGGACTGCTGTTCCTTTAGCGCCACCCTTTGTCCCCAACCTCGGAGAAAGGAAGCAAGCCATTGCAAGGCAAGCCCCTATATCCCCACGTCAGCAAGGTGGCAGGTCAGCAGCTGGTGGTTGACCATGTTAAATGCGGCCGACAGATCTAACAACAGCAGCACTGCCACGCCACCTCGATCCAGATGTCTCCGGAGGTCGTCAGCAGTGTTCCCTCTAAGCTGAGTTAGTGTGAGCTAGCTCACCGTTTTTTAGCCTCCAGCTCACACATTTTTGCCTTAGCTCAGGAAGGATGGCTCCAGAGCAAACTAATTTATGCAGGAGCCAAATCACCTGCTCACAACTTTAATGCCAGTAGCTCACAAAGTAGAATTTTTGCTCACAGGACTCCACAACTTAGAGGGAACATTGGGTCAGTATGGGCGACCAGAGCTGTCTCCGTCCTGTATCCCGGGCAGAAGCTGGACTGTCATCCAGAAAGCTCTGCAGGTGTAACACCACCGCCATCTCAATTAATTTGCCCAAATAGGGCAAATTGGAAACCAGCTGGTAGTTAGCCAAATCGGCCAGATCCAAGGATGGTTTTTTCAAGAGAGGGTGGACCATCGCATCCTTGAGTGCCCCTGGGAACTGTCCCACCCCGAGGGACTTGTTGATAATCTCCCTTAGGGCACCTCGAAACCCCTTGTGGCCAGCTTTAATCAGCCAGGAGGGGCACGGATCAAGATTGCATGTGGTTGGGCGTACAGTCATGAGCAATCTGTCAACTTCCTCCAGACCGAGTGGGCCAAAAGAATCCAAAGCCGGAAATGAAGGCGTAGAGTAATACAGTTGACTAATGGCAAGGATTGTTGGATTGTTGGTATTCCCCTTTGTACTCTTCAGCTTCTGATTGGGGTCAGGGCCACAGGCAGCAGTGGAAGCTCGGAATATGACCCTGTGTGTCACACTGCCCCATCCTCTGCTTAAACAGGCTTGAAGGTAGGGGAGGCAAGACTTCCAGGGGGCAGCCAGGAGCCTATCTTGGCATGCAGAATAGAAGTGTGTTTATTGGCATAAGGATGACTGCTCAGTTCTAAGTAGAATTGGAATTATCTAATGAAGAAGATGCCTACGCAGGTAACAGATGTACAAAAGTTATTTCTTTACAGGTCATAAAATGCAGAGCAGCTGTCGCTTGGGAGCCTAACAAACCCCTTGTCATGGAGCAAATTGAAGTTGCTCCCCCAAAAGCTCATGAAGTTCGCATTAAGGTAAATGACGTTGATGTTGATCATGCAACAAATCTTATCCATTGTTGAAACCATTGGATGGAGCTCTTCTCTGTTGGAAAAATAGTCAAAAATACTTAAATGCTCAGAGTTTCAATGGATCTTGCTTCACTGGAGATTTCTTTGTGTTTTAAAATACTTTATTTCTAAGGGTAAAGGGTACACAGGAGACCTACAAAAGTAACAAACCTTAAGAACTACATTTTCTATGTCTTAGTGCTAAGAAAATATGGTTAGAAGAGAGATTCACAATGGTGGAGAAACACCTTCTTCTTGACCCCTAGAAGGAAGTCACCTGAAACAAACAACCAATCTGTATCACAATAGAAGCTACTTTTCCCGTGCTAATTCCCCATTGGCTCTGTGCCAGGTTTCCCTTCCAGGTCAGTCTAAACAATACCATAGAAAGGTAAACAAGCTAACCCTATAATGGCTGGAATCTGAGACCTTGCAAACACATACATTTCCAACATTCTCCACAATGTATACATATATTTTTTAAAAAGTTTGCTTCCTGTCCTCAAGTATTTCTTTAAAATCTGCAATTCAGTTGCTTAGACTTGGCTAGGTATGCGCACTGTATCTTTGCATCCTGATTTCCTTTTTTGCAACACCCCTCCCACCTTCTGACTGGAATATAAGGACTCAGAAGTCTCCATTCCTACTTGTATCTGATGAAGGGAGCTTTGACTCGAAAGCTTATACCCCAAAAATCTTTTTCGTCTCTATGGTGCTACTGGACTTGAAACTAGCTGCTAGATTTGGTATTGTACACATTATAAAATATAACAGCAAGGAATTTGTATCAGCTTTCCCAAACTGTACAGTAGGTGTTTGATGTCACGAAAGGAATTAGAGTCATTCTTGGTATGTTACAGGACTTCTAACAAGCAATGCCAGGAGTCCTCTCAAGGTAATGGATTTGATGATGAATCATGTTCACGTGAAGTTAATGAACCATGCATCTGACTACTCCACCACATGCTATGATTAAATTTGTTATGCCATCATAACGAGCAAGCTACTGTTTCTGCTTCCCCCTCGAACCAGGCTTACAAACCAGTGTTCCGTTCCATTGTGATTTGTGTTTATAGTAATACCAGAAGATTCTGTGGTATAATGTAATGTCAGCCCTGGGGTATGGGCACGGGGGAGGGGGCTTAGAATGCCAATTCTGGTCTGCTCTTGGTGTAGCCCCCCCACCAATGCTGTCCGTTTCTGGCCTGTGCCAGCACTGGTTTTACAGTGGTGTTACTGGGGTTATAGACTTGTGTATCTCACTGTTTTCCTGGTGCCAAAAGTTAGTTGCCATTCTACACAGTTCCAAGATGGCCTTAGGTTCATTCAGGGCTTTTTTTATAGAAAAAGCCCAGCCGGAACTCATTAGCATAATAGGCCACACCCAACAGCAGAAACTCATTAGCATATTAGGGCACACATCTGACAGCACAGCTTATTAGCATATTAGGCCACACACCCCATGTTACCAGAAGTCTGGTCATCCAGCCACACCCACCTTTTGCTTCTTATTCTGTTTACCTTATTTGTTGTCAAACCAGGGCTTTTTTTGTAGCAGGATCTCCTTTGCATGTTAGGCCACACATCCCTAATGTAGCCAATCCTAATGAGTTTCTGCTGTTGGGGGTGGCCTGTTATGCTAATGAATTCCAAACCTGCTGGGTGTGGCCAACTTGGGAGCCAGCCGGAACTCCGTTCCTGTGCGTTCCTGCCCAAAAATAGCCCTGGGTTCACTTTAGGTTAATCCCTTGGCTAATCTAAGGCAGGAAAGAGGAAGCCAAGTGGACCAGGGGAGCAAAAACAGGATTTATGCCTGTAGTACCAGACTATGATCTGGCAGTATGGGTGAACCATACTGTACAGCATGTTTGTAACACACCCATTTATAGGGAATCACCATGTGAGGTTTATAAGGCCTCTACTTAACTCATGTAGTAAAACACTGAGAATGTTTCCTCCTTCCATCTTGAAGCATTATTTTTCTTTCTGTGCAGGTTTTGGCCACAGGGATCTGTCGCTCAGATGATCACGTGATCACTGGTGCGTTTGTTATGCCTTTCCCAATCGTTTTGGGCCATGAAGCAGCCGGAGTTGTGGAGAGCGTTGGCGAGGGAGTAACTTGTGTGAAACCAGGTATGAGGAAAGGTGGTGATCACGAGACATGCAAATCATACTATAATAACGCTTGCAAGTCCTGCAAAGGTGAGTGCAGGGTTGCTTCACACATGCTCACTGGCCTATAGTCATGGCGAATAGATGCACACATGGCGAATAGATGCACACATGACATACTACACACATGACAATATACACAATCATATCCCCAGCAGGTGCTGAATCTAAGCTTTTTTTAAAATGTAAGCTAGGTTCTTTGATATCTGTGCCCTCCCCCCCTCCCCTCCAGTGCTGGACATTTTGATCACATGGGAGAAGTATAGCAAGCTTTGCTTTCACTCTGGTACTAAGTATATGCTACAAAAAAAGAGTGTGTTTTAATCATTTGGGGATTTGGCTGACATGAGCACACTAAATCAGATCATTTGGAGAGTTCCAGAATATGAGAAATTTAGTTTTAAATTCAGTTGCGTCTTTGTTTCCCCAAAGAAGGAAATTGACAGGAGTTCAAAGACCAGATTCATATCAAGGAGATATCAGGCCTCCCTGGTCTTAAAGGTCCCTTTTGAGGTCTGTCTAAATGGTTCCAGTTACTGGATCCATGACTTCCATCTCCAGATGTGTGTCCTGCAAGTCACTGAATTTACTAGTGCTTCACATTCTGGCTAGACCAAAATCAAATAATAATAATAATAATAATAATAATAATAATAATAATAATAATAATAATAATAAACGCTTGCCTGGGACTCAACAGGATTTATTTCTACATGAACAGACACAGGATTGAATTGCTTTGCTTTTGATTACTGCTCACAGTCTGCCTGGTAGTAAGGACAAAAAAAGTTAAAACTACGCAGACAAAACAGATGGAGTTTTGCCCTGAACAGAAGGGAGAGCTAGAGGAGAAAAGAAAGTCAAGTGTGTCTGCTTCCAGATAAAGCCCACGCTGCTGGCAAGGGTAGGCGGACAAACCACAGTGATACCTATGGATTGGGTGGGTCCAACTGGTTTTTCCACTTTAATCATCCAAAAATCTGTCCTGGGGATTATGGGACCTACATGGACAAAAGCCACGTGAGCCGGGGGCTGCTGTAAGAAATGGGAACAAAACTGAGCAAAAAAGCTGTCTGGATCCAACAATCTATGTTTTGGCAAATAATTGCACAGATGTTCTTGTGATCAACTGCATCCTGCAAAGTCTCCAGAGCCCAACTGAATGTAACATTAGTTAGTTGTGGGTTTGGTTATTGTGTGTGTGTATGTGCAATTGCAAAAGGTGTAACGGTTCATTTGTTTGCGTTCTTAGGAGACAAGGTAATCCCACTCTTTGTTCCACAATGTGGAAAGTGTCGTTCCTGCCAGAGTACCAGAGGCAATCTTTGTTCTAAAAACGAGTGAGCTTCATTATATTCATATTAACAATCCCAGTATTTTAGCATCTTTTCATGATATACTAAATGAAATGGAAGGAGGCTGGAATTACAATTAAACCTAACTGCAATTTAGGGTAGCCATGCCAGTGCCCAAGATCCCAGAGAGCTGCTAGGGGGGTGGGGCGTGGGTGGGAGAAGTGTCACTCCCCCCCCCCCAACACCATTACCCTCTTGGAATTCCTTCAGTCTCTATAGTAAAGACCACAGAGGTTGGATCAATTCCTAGAGTTCTGTGTGTGGGGTTGATCACCCAGAAGTGATGTCACAGCATTACCAACATAGTTTCTCCCCATTTTTTTCCTGCTGCTTATTAGATTGAGAATTTGCAATGAGAGGTAGAGGTGGGCGTTTACCTACCCATGGGCAGGCACTTGGCTATGTCTGTATATACTGCCTTTCTCCATATGTGCCCACACACCAACTGAGATATAATCAACAGCAGCTCTTGACAATTCCTTCTTGGCCCCAACTTAAAACTGCAATGGCAAGAAATAGACTGTTTTCAGTGGAAGTGCCTGATATTTGGAATTTAGTCCTTGCTGCAAGGATGAAAGCAACTTCTGGGCTTCGTTTCCTGAAAGCTTATAATACACTGGAAAAATATTATAGTAGAAGTTTTAAACTGTATTGTACTGTGTGATAGATTATCCAGTTTGACTGTTTATAAATCAACATAAGAACATAAGAAAAGCTCTTCCTGGATCAGACCAATGGTCCATCTAGTCCTGCATTCTTTGTCACCCAGGGGCCAACCAGTTGCCCTAGAGGGCTAACAGACAGGCTATAGTAGCTCAGGCCTTCCCATGATGTTGTCTTCTGTTATTCCTAGGCGTGATTGTTGTTGAGCTGATTGTTTTATAAGAATTTATTCCTTGGTGAAGTGAAGAAAACATCTTTTCCCCCTCACTTACTTGATACAGTGTGACTTGTCTTGAGTTTCAAGTCAGGCAAGATATTAATTATGTTAATAAATTATATCAGAATGAATACTTAATTATTTTTGTTAGTATATTTCTGATGTGTTGAGCACATATCTCTTGTACATAGGCTAAAAATTGTTCATTTATCATTATTTTATTCTATCCATTTTTTCCAAGGAGGTCAGGGTAGTACAAAAGGAAGTAATCCTATTTTATTCTCATACCAAGGTTATAGGATAGGTTAGGCAGAGAGAGAGTTTTTTGTCCTGTTTTTTTTGAGGATCACGAAACCGCAGGGAAAATCGGGCGAAGCCGCAGGTCAAAATGCGGCCGCGTGGCTTCGAGTGGGAAATTGACCAATAGAAGTGGGGCAAAGGGAGGCACAACCGCGGCGCAGCTCTTGTGTGAAATCAGTCAGAGAGAGAGGAGCTCTCCAGTGTCCTCTCAGTAAATTCCATCTACCCAATCTAAATCCAGAACTTTAGTTCACTTTCTACTACCTAATTCTGTTTCTCTCTGGGTATATGTTGTCAACAGTATTATCGCAGCCCATGGATTGATGCCCGATGGCACCAGCAGGTTTACTTGCAAAGGGAAGACCCTTCACCATTTCCTTAGCACCAGCACCTTCACAGAATACACAGTGGTGCATGAGACTTCAGTGGTCAAAATTGATGCTGCTGCCCCTGTGGAAAAAGTGTGTCTGGTTGGCTGTGGGTTTTCCACTGGTTATGGAGCAGCTATTCAAACAGCCAAGGTGAGTTCTAGAGCATGCATTTAAAAAATTTTCCCATTGATTAGGTCCAATTCTAACCATTTGTGTTTGAATGAGAGACAGAGAGATAGAATGTGCATTTGTTTAAAGATGTAGGCCATAACTATTTTATAACAGCAATTACAAAATTAATCAAAACACATATAAAATAAAAATGTGGAAATTAAAGAAAATGTAAAAACATTCTTTCATGCAGCTGGTTTTGTCATTCCTAAATTCATTTTCTACCATCTACTTGACCACATAGCACTCCTACAGCTTCTTTATCCACCACCAAATCTAGGAATAATCAAGGCTTCTTTCCTGCCCTACTAAGGTCTGCCCCACCCACCCCCTTCCTCCTTGCTCTCTGCTCAAGACTTTTCCATTCCCTTCAGTGATAATAATAACTAATGCTCTACTATGTCATACCATAAGGAACCCTAGATGGGTTGAATCTCATGGAACATTTCCGCAAATGGAAGAGGAGGGTGATTTTCTCCCATTTGCACTTAGTCCTAGACTTTTGACTCCCCTTGCATGCTCCTGGGGGTCCATTATTCACCAGGACAAACATTTCAGGAGGTAATTTTTGCTGTAATAGGAGGGGGAGGGGAGGAAGATCCATTCTGCTGATGGAAATCTGCTCCATTAGTAGCTGTGTTCCACAAGAACCAAGTCTATGAGTTGAGCTGCATGTAGGATTTCCCCAGTTTGGCTCAGAAAAGCATGAATTTTACATTAGATCATAGGAGGATGCATTACCCAAATCACTATACATGCAGATGTCTTGTAACTTGCAAAGGCATCCCCTTATTAGCATGGAGCAAGCATGTGTATTTCTGTGTGTCACATATACATTCGAGATCATAAACCTGTGCATACCAAGGTCCAGATTCAGACCAACAATCAAAAGAATGAGGGCAGGATAAAAAGAGGTTTTTATTTAGATAACAGAATAGAAAATAAGTTTTAAAGTTTGAGCAATTTGCAAGGTAAAAATGGTGATTTACGCAGCAGAAAAAGACATTAGAAAACAGTTAAAAACCTTTCCTCAGCATGCTGCCTGCCTACGCGGGTGGGGGGACTGAAAGGGAGAGAACCAAAAATATACAAGCCTGGTCTCTAAAAAGAAGGAAGAAAGGTTCCTTGGTGGTGACAAAGCAGCTCCAGGAGAGTGAAATTGACCAAGCAGGAGAAAGAGCACAACAAAGCAGGTCTGTATAGTGGAGAGGCAGAGAAGCCAATCATGAAGGTGGGGTAACTGGATGGATTCCAAACCCGCTGCAAAGTCTGGGTCTGAGGGGTAGCTCTTTGTGCCAAAGGTGGGGGAGGGGAAAGGGCATTGGCATGGGGATGAGAAATTGATGAAAAATCAATCTCTCCAGAGATGGGCTTATTTGAAAAGCATTGTGGAGGGTAGTTTTCCTTATTTGCAGTATAGTATTGGGAATATTATTTGGGGGAGATTTGCTGTTTATGACTGGCTGCAAAAACAGTAAACACAGTAAATAAAATAAATATTTGGGGGAGAGGTTTACACGATTGAGTCAGGGCAGAAACCTTCCTGCCCAACCTTTAAGATAAGGGGGAAATAGCTGGGATCGACCTATAGTTTTGGATATTTGTGTCACTGAATTAGATCAAATTATCGAGGAGACTCCAATGTTCTTGTGGAAATGGCCCTCCGGTTAACTCCAACTGGAAATGGACTTTGCATGATTGATGGAGGAGTGCCCTATACTACTTTATGACCTTTGTGTTACTCACTGCCATTTAATATTAGCTTGATACAGACTCCATCTTTCATTTTTAGGCCCATGTTGAGATGTACATGTGCACAAGTGGGCATTGAAATGGAGATCTCCATGATGCAGGGGCATCAGACGACAGACCCATACTGTATGTGTTATTCTTGCAATTTTCTAGGTGGAACTTGGTTCTACTTGTGCTGTCTTTGGTTTGGGAGGAGTTGGCCTCTCAGTAATTATGGGCTGCAAGGCTGCAGGAGCTTCCAAGATCTTTGCAGTTGACATCAACAAAAGTAAATTTGCCAAAGCTAAAGAACTGGGAGCCACAGATTGCATTGACCCTCTGGATTTCAAGAAGCCCATCAATGAAGTACTGTTCGAGCAGACTGGTGGTGAAGGTGTAGACTATTCGTTTGAAGTGGTTGGACGCACAGATACCATGGTACCTGACTTCAGACATTTCCTTTTCAGAATAGTACTTTCGAATACTGAATGTAATACAAGTAATATTGGAATGTTTGGCTGACATAACACTACACCGACCTCAAAAAAGAAAAAAATGCTCCAAGAAGAAAAAAATGCTGTTAAGTGACCTCCACGCCTGAAAGGAATGAATGGAGAGTCTCAGTTTTATTTTGACATATTTACTGCTTTACAGCTGTTGATCTTATAACCTTAACTTGTTATTAGTTTGGTCTTCGCATATCTTAAAACATCGTCATCATTGTTACATGTTAATTTGCTGTTCAGCCCCTATCTATGAGTTTGAACCTTACCTTCCTTCCAATATATTTGGAAAAGTGTCCGTGCACATGAAAGCTCATACCTTGAATAAAGCTATTGAGAAAGGATTTTTATAAATAACTGTGTTCTGTACCTCCAACGACCATTGCTGAGCGTTCTGAAATACCAGAAGTTCTAGATTTATATGTCTGGTAAAGAACAATATGCCTGGTAAAGAACAATAGGAACAGAAGATAGTATAGCAAAAACCTTAATATTCAGATGTTTTAGAACTTTTAAATTGTTTTCCAGTTTCACTATGTAGATTTCTTAGGGAACTTCTTTAAAAATGAAAAGTATATATACATGTTGCAAATAGCTAAAGGTGCGCCCTTGTGTTTTATCTTAGATTGCTGCCTTGGCTTCCTGCCACATGAACCTTGGAACCAGTGTGCTTGTGGGGCTGCCTCCACCAGGATCTCATGTCTCTTATGACCCATATCTCCTTTTCACTGGCCGTACATGGAAGGGATCTGTGTTTGGAGGTATGGCTGCAGACCTAATGAAAAGCATCTTAATTCCTTGTTATGCAAATTAACTTCAACACACTGTCCATTACACTCCAGTTCTGGAAACTGTGTGCACAACTGGATCCAGTTTCCAGCTACTGATGATAGAAGTCCACTTGCACAAACTGTTCTGTATGCCACAGCTGGAATGTTATGAGAGGGTCTACAGCACATGTTCTGCAGCATATGGCTCATTTCCTGGACAGGGAGATAATTATAAACAACCAACGTACCACAGACATTGTTTAGTTGTTTGTTTAAAATATGTATATCTCATTCCTCAAACAGAAAAATAAATGGGTCTTTGGGCAGTTTACAATAAGCAATCAGAAACAACAAAATACTATAAACTCATGCTATTAAAATAAGAATCCAGTCAGAGGGAAAAGGTATAAAAAGCCAACAGCAAAAGACACGTAAAACAGTAAACACCTTAAAATATTAAAGCCAGTAAACAGTCACCAAGATTAAATTAAATATGAAGCAGCAGATCAAACTGATTAAGTTTCTGTGCGCCCTTATCTGGGAATATATTATAGTGGATTAAAGGGATTTACTTCCATATAAACACGGCAGGATTGGGCTCTTATGACATTGTTAATCAACATGAGAGAAATACATTTTATTAATCATCATCTGAGAAACCAGAGGGGAAAATCAGAGAAATAAAAATATCACCTGGGGAAATAAGTAGGTTTCCATTTGGTCAATAAATGTGGTGCCAATCAAGATCTTCCAAAGTTGGGGTGTTGTGGTGGAAAAGTCCATGGTCTTCATTACCACCTGAAAAAATAGGGAGGCCTGAAATGACATTTTAAATGGGCAGGAACATATGCAAAAGGATGGTCTTTTATCCTTGTCCCAAGCTATTTGTGGCTTTAAAGGTAATAGCCAGCATTTTATAGACAGCCACTGGAGTTGTTCTAAGATGGATATCATTACTGCCTCTAGGCAAACCTTTAAGAGACCGAGTGCCCAAACTGTGATCCAAAACCCACTTATTTATTGCAAAGTGCCAACACGGCAATTTAACCTGAATACTTAGGTTTTACTTTAGAAAAAAACAACTCCTACATTCACTTAAGATGATCCAAACAAAGTAAGGAAAGCAATCCCAAATGCTTTCATTTACTTAAAATAATTTGGCAGAGAGTTCGACACTTTAATGATGGTCTGGGCCTGGCTGGGGCGATGGCACGCGTGCCCACAGAGAGGGCTCTGAGTTCTACCTCTGGCAACGGTATATAGAACATCTGTGGTTTCACATCGATTAGCTGAAAAAGGAAAGTGGAACTGGATGTCATCTGTGGCCTCACTCCAATATCTCAAGGATATATCACTGGCTGGCTGCATATCAGGTTTGCAAAGTGGAAACCAGCCTTGGGAATGGACACTCCCCACTCTCTAATGCAAATTTCCCCTCTTTCCTTAGCCATCGCTGATTGTTACATCTGCACTGATGCTAACTATGGTTAAATTCTGACCAACTTCCCTCTTAACTAAGGTTTAAGGTAAAGGTAAAGGTTCCCTTGCTCAAAAGCCAGTCGAATCCGACTCTAGGGTTGCGGTGCTCATCTCCGTTTCAAAGCCGAAGAGCCAGCGCTGTCTGAAGACGTTTCCGTGGTCATGTGGCCGGCATGACTAAACACCAAGGCTCACGGAACGCTGTTACCTTCCCACCAAAGTGGTCCCTATTTATCTACTTGCAATTTCTTGCTTTCGAACTGCTAGGTTGGCAGGAGCTGGAACTAGAGACGGGAGCTCACTCCGTCTTGCGGCACCCGGGTCTTGGAACTGCTGAACTACTGACCTTCCACAGCCTGCAGTTCAGCGTCTTAACCACTTGAGCCGCCGCAGCTCCTGTTAACTAAGGTTTACAAACCAACTTTAGACTCTGATTTCTGGTACTTGTTAAGATGGGAATGCTAGTTACCATTAAGTATAGTTAGCTTTGCTGTAGGTATAATGGTAAACCGTGGTTAAAGCGAACAGAGCAAAGGATGAGAGGAATTCACACCCAAGAGGTGAGGAGAGAAGGGAAGAGTGCATGCATTGACCAGGCTGTCTTCCAGGAAGTGGAGCTCTCTTGAAGGATGTGTTGCACAAAGTATTTCAGGACAATATCCTGGAAGAAAACAGGGAACAACATTGACCAGCCCTAAATCTATATATCTAATAGCCAAGTTGCCCCCTCCATGCAGATATCTAAATCCGCACATCAGGGGCACTTGGGGGGCAGAGAGATTTTCCTGCACACTTGGAGCAGTCTCCAGTATGCAGAAAAATCTAAAAAGTTGAAAAAAGTATACGGGGGATATTTAAATCCCCCCAAAAGTAAAAGAGAACAGAGCACAGAGAACGCCCGGCAGCTGTCCCACTGCTGCCGCCACCACTGGAAGCAGGGGGCAGGAGAAGGTTTGGTGGGCTGAGCTCAGGCCTCACCTCCAGTGCTGGGGAGGAGGAGAAGGGAGAAGGTTTGGTGGGCCCGGCAGCTGGGAGCCATGTGGGCCTCCTCGTTGGTGCCGGAGGGGGCAGGGGAGAAGGCTCACCTGCGGCTGCTTCCTCCTCCTCCACATGGAGCTCCCCCCCCCCGTGAGTATCGTGGGTCCCCCTTCTTGTATATTCTATTTGCTGAACAGCAGATACAGAATAACTTGGAGCAGCCTAGAATGGGCAGGAGGATATCACTCCCTTTATATTGTGAAATCTATGTCATAGTGAGATGGCATCAAAGGTACACAATGTGGTTTAGAATGAATTCTTTTTTTACACCAAGAGCCAAACTGAATGTTACTTTTCACATGAGTTCACTGTAGGGACTAGCAACCACCTTGCAGCTGCCAGTCCTGGTGGCTATTCGGTGTAAAATGTGCAGAGGGGCCCAGTTCTGATTAGGATGATGACACAAATGAGGAGGAACTCCTGCCTCCCCCCCCCCCAAGTTTTGGCAGGTGAAATGACCCAAAGGGGCTGCAGAGACAGGCATAATTTGCCCCATTAGGAGGCTGCAAGTACAAGCATTCAACGCACAGGAAGCTTCCCAAGAAAGCAAATAACAACCCCCATGGCTCCCAGGTTATTTAGGCTTCCCCCCACACACACACACACACAATGGCCTCGATCAGAATCAGGACTGTCTGCCCTTTTTACACAGGAGTTGCCCCTGGGACTGGCAGCTGAAGAATGGAAAGTGGGGCTGACTTGTGAAAAGCGGGGCCTAGTTTGGCTCTAAATCTCCTCACCATTATTTTACATCCCTCGTACCTGATTGCTGTTTCCTTGTTTGCTGATTTTCAGGCTGGAAGAGTAAAGAAGCTGTCCCTAGGCTGGTTTCTGATTTCATGGGGAAGAAGTTTGTTCTGGATCCATTAATATCTCACACTTTACCTTTTGCTAAAATCAATGAAGGATTTGAACTGCTCCGGTCAGGCGAGAGGTGATGCTCACTTTTCATGTTGTTGTTGTTGTTGTTGTTGTTAACCGTGCTTGTAAGTAAGTTCCAGTTTCCCCATGTGAGCAAAATTTACCAAGGAACCAAAGAAGAATTCTACGTTATGCTTTCATGATCTCCTTTGCGAGAAATCCTTAGTACATCCTTGGTCCAATTTGTCCCAAGAAAAAAAGTGCCACATTAGTCACGGGGGGGGGGGGGGACCGGGGGG